TTACCAATTTTCTTTTGGGAATCAGATCTCCAAATACATGCTGTTAGGAGATTAAAATTTAGGGATTATTCAATGAGTTGCCTATGATCAAAACCAAAATCTTTCTATTGGATATTTTTTAAAATAAGAATTTATTTTTAAACAGTAAGCTCTTTTCAGGCTCAGCTTCAGGTGCTGGTATAAGATATTTAAGGTTTTTATGAATAAATATTGATTTTCTTTAATTCACTAGTTTTCCCTGGAGAGTTATAGACTCACAATCAGTGGGTAAAGAAGTAGAATTCGCACGTACTAGGAGTCAGAATGTTAAATAGTTCATTCTATGGGGTGGCTCTCAGAGTGCCACCAGTTTCAGTTAGGCATAAGGGAACTGATTATAGCAAGCCTATTTCTGTTATTAACGCATAGCTCTTAAATGTGGAATATGCCAGGGCCAGTGGTAACATCATAAACAGTGTTTCTTAAACTTCAGTGAGTATATGAATCACCTAAGGATCTTATTAAAAATCAGATTCTAGTCACTAAGTTTGGGTGTGAGGCCTGATATTCTGCATTTCTAACAAGCTCCCAGTAGACACTGATTCTGCTGAACCACTTCAAATGTCAAAAAGTTACAGCACTGATACTGTGGTTCCTGCCTAGAAATGAGATGTGTAGCCCACAAGCTGAAGGTCGAAGTTCTCGTATTAAGTAAGCTGTTAATCAGTTATGTGAATAAAAAATTATTTAACATCTGAGGGCCCTATTGTCTACAGTAAAATTACAGGTTTGGACCAGGTGATGCACCAGGCCCTTCAGAACTATAAAAATTATAGATTTTTAAGATAACTCTGGTTTTTATGTTGGCTGCTGCCTTCTTTATTTTCCCTCATAAATGATTATTGAAAATAAAAAGAAATTCTATTGTGCTGTGTTACTCCCAAAGCTTCCCATTTAGTTGTACTTTGCATTCTTTGAGCCAAGATAGTTATTTCTTTTTAATGTCAATTTCCATAGTCTTTCTCCATAATTCTTAGAACATTTATTCAAATTAGTATTTTCCCCTTAACTTTAAGGAGATTTTAAAAACAAATACAGAGTCTGTGGAATTATTTGTTGCCCAAATAAAAATGTAGTTTCTATTATTTCATATTTTTCAGAGACGCTGTAATATTCTTAAATAGGGGTGATCATTAATTGGAGCCAATCTCATAAAACGCATCCCTGCTAAGGTAGCAATGGATGGTAGTGGTTTTAAATAGCATTTAACAGGGAACAAATCCTTTCCCTTCTCTGAATAGAATTTGAATCAGTTGCCTCTTGTTTATCCCCATACCAATATTTTTATTCAGAATTTCATTAACTCTTGCCTGAAGTACTGTACTAGTCCACCAACTAGTGTTCCATCTCCAGCCTTTCCATAGTTACTCCAATACAGCCCTGCCAGAGCAATGTTCCCAGATGTCAACAATGTACAACATGTGACTTCTAGTTTAAAGCCTGAAGGCGGTCCTTTTTCAACACTTTCATGCAATGAGGTAAGCCTACATTTTTCAGGTTCCCACTACTTCCCTTCACCAAATGTTTTCTACATTTCCCATAAACAGAATTTGTGACTCTTTCTATGCATTTCTTCTTCTACTTTGTATACCTTCTTCCATCAATCCTATCTATTCTTCAAGATCCATTGCAAATGCCAATTCTGGCTTAAAGTATTCCCTGATTCTTCTATCAAAAAGGTGAACTCACATAATACTTTGCTCTCAACTCTCTTTTTACCCAATACTCTCTGCCCTATATTCTAATGTCTATATATGCTTTCTCCCTGCCCTATACTTGTTTAATTCTTGGGAATCTGTAGTATGCTTTTTGTAGCTCTCACAGTATTTTTTCAGTTCCTCATATATGTTGAAGAAATGAGTGAATGAATAATACAGATTCAGTATTAATCTATGGATCAAGACATTCAGAAACTGCAGAAATTTAAAATTATTTATTAATCTATTATTATTTTGGGCAAATTACTTAATCGCTGTGATTTGCTATTCTCACATAGTTTTTTATAAGGCAAGGGAAGTTTAGTAAATTTTTTTTACTTAAGAATATAAAGCACTATGCTATATAAATGTTGGAACAAAGGGAAATCTCTTGACTTACTAGATCATGGTAAGTATTGTCATAGGACAGTGTATCCCAGATTCATCTATTATATTATTAAGAAAATTCTATATGTAAAATTCATAATATACAAAGATGATATAATTTATATTTACTATTCTAAAAATGCAACACAATGGTACTGGCTTTACAACGTGTTATTATACAGGGTTAATATTTTCAAGCAGAAAAGTCAAAGTCTTCTTCAAAATACCATTGACAACATCTCAGCAATGATATCATAATTGTCTATCATGATTTGGGGACCATTAAAGGTGTTCTTTGCAAGATACAGTGTACATTATTTTCCTAAAACTTGGAAATGAAAAAGTTTATAGTCACGACAGGATTTGTGAATTTTGAGCACCTACCAAATTGATTTCCAGTGCTCCATGATCTGCAATGCATTGGTTAAACATTTTCAGCAGTAGTGTGTTAACTCTTTTAGAATACTAGGTTGATCTATTAGTGCAATAGTGTAAGAGTCATAAGAATTTAGAAAGATAAAACGTGTGAAAGCTAGCTCCATAATCAAAGAAATTAGCAAGAATTAATTTTAAATATTACAAAAACTTTAAGACTATCAGAACATTAAAAGATCTTAGTCTTACATAATTTTCAGTGCTAATGTCTCTTCCAGTCAATTCCCTTACCAGGAAATGTGACTTTTAAGTAGTTCTGACCAACTTCAAATAGAGTAATTTAATTCAATAGGAGTTTTTAAAACTGTTTGAGAAATCTATGTTAATTTAGAAGAAGTCTCCCATCTTTGTCCATGAATACCAGTTTAAGAAGAAAATCAGAGGATTATAATTCTCTAAGGAATATTTTCTTTGATATCTTTTCTCTTTAACACTTGTAAGTCCTTCCATTAAGTCATGGGAAACATCAATCTATGGATAAATTAATAGTATTAGACTAAATATCTATTATATGTATTTGAAGCCTTATTTTTCATCCTCCTTACTACTTTCCTAAGATTCCTTATAACCGTCTTATGCCAGGAACTTACTTATCAGTGATAAAATCAAGAGAAGTTTTAACGTGTTCCTAACCTGTAAGTTACATCTTATAATGCTAATTTTTTGTTAAAGATGTCTTCCTTTAAAGGCAACATAGCTTAGTCTGCACCATTCAAATGGTCTAGGCTGAAATAAATGTTAATATGATCTTTCTGTTTAATCATGGAATTACTTATCTGACATATTTGTGGAGTAAATACAACCTCACTGCAGATCATGATTCTATTCTCAGAGTGATTATTTACAGAATTACTCATTCTAATAAAGCAAAAATGTAACAGGAAACAGAAACCAGGTTTTGCACTAATAATCTACATCACCATTAGAAAAGCTTATGTGTGACTTTACAAATCTAAATATGTTCATAATTTAGAAAAAATGAAGAAATCTCTTTTATCCCCATGGTTTCTGAAGATATAGACCCACTGTATCTCCATGAGCTGAAATTGCAAGATTGTAAAAAGCATGTGTACTCCTGTGACAAAGACTGTTACACACAATATTCTCTTGTGCTTTCACTAAAGTTTTCACTAGATTTTGCCATTTTCCTTATGTCATGAGTACTTGTAATTTAAATATGCAAACAACAGATCAGAGACCCTAAGGTCCAATGCAGTGGTCCCCTGTTGGCATTATACAAGATGATTTTAGAGGGTGCACCAACTAACACTTTGTTGTTGTTGTTGTTGTTTTGAGACAGGGTCTCACTCTGTTCCCCAGGTTGGATGGCAGTGGTACAATCATGGCTCACTACAAACTTGACATTCTGGGCTCAAGGGATCCTCTCAGTTTAGCCTCCCAAGTGGCAAGGACTACAGGCAAGCACTACCACGCCTGGCTAATTATTACTATTATTACTTTTGTAGCGAAAAGATCTTCCTATGTTGCCCAATCTGAATTCTAACTCTTGGGCTCATGCAGCTCTCCCACCTTGGCCTTTCCAAGTGCTGGGATTACAAGTGTGGAGCCACCATGCCCAGCCAACATTTCTTATTTTAGTAGATACACATTTATTTCAAAGTGTAAAAGAAAAAACAGCAAATCAAACTTATTATAGCAACCTTTCTTTGAGTCAAATTCGCTTTTTACATAAATTTCAGGTTAAAAAGTAAGTGCATTTAAGGAAAAATACAAACTACATATAGTGTAGGTGCTATTGACAAAGGTTATGATGGAGCCTGGGAAGCTCTGGTGAGGTGGAAAGGCTGGGGTCAGGTGATTGTGGTTCTGGTTCTAGTTGTCACTAACTAGCTATACTACCTTTACCAAGTCACAATCTCTTTGGGCATCTATTCCTTATCTGTGAAATTATGGGGTGACTTCTAAGATCCACCAGTGCCATTCTTCAGTGATGTTGTACTTTCTTGTCAAAGGCCATTACAAGGGATGCCAATCTCTGCAAAACAAAAGTAAGCATTCCAACTCTTAACACAAGAGGCCATACTTAAACTAGGCAAATCAGTGTACCTAATGGGGAATTTTTTTGAGGTTAAGATACTCTACTAATAGAGTAGACTAATCCTTTGAAAGACTGGAAATAAATTTGATTTTGCTTAGTAATATCACATTTTTTGCACATGGAAGGGATCTCAAATACCTCTGAATTCTCCCATCAATAAGATGGTTAAATAGCAGATAATTTTATGTAGCACATTTAAAATGTGTTACTATTATTCTAATGTGGGAATAGGAAGGCTTGATGTTCATGATGCAGTCAGATGGGGTATTTAAGTAAAGTCAGCTTTTGAAGGAAAATACACTTCTATTAGATGGATAAAAACATACATGAACACTAGACTAAGGTAAAGAGCTGTGTTTTAAGAAACAGGAGGTGTCTACAGGTTTAAGATAAAATAGCTGATCTGGCTTCTGGTTTTACTTTTTCACTCTGAAAATAGAAAACATGTTAACCAGTTACCCATTTTCAGGTGTAATCAAATTTGAATCCCAAATTAGCTCTGTATAACTTTATTAAACTGTATTGAATTAGTTCTTTTCCCAATGGTTCAAGAATACAGGTTCAAATCAAGACCTAACTTTGCGTACCAAAAAGCACTCATTGTAGAAAATATCTATCAATATGGTCAGGTTCTTTGTTTACTAAAATAATCTACATAATTTGAGAAATATACTACAATTTCCTTGAATTGACATTACCATCTCTTTTTCTAAAAGTTCCCCAGCCACTGAGAGAAGACTGTCTTCCTAAAGGTTATCTATTAACTCTGAACTAGCCTAAAGAGAAATCAGATTAACCAATTAGATTGTGAAGAAAAGAAGCTTTTGATTATGATGATGAGCTTTGCAACTACGTGAACTAGGCATTTTGGAAATTATAATCTTAATCAGATAAAGTACTTTTTTTTCTGTTTGGAATACTTATTACATCTATTTAATCGATTCAGCTCAACAAACAAACACATACCAACAAAACTCAAACAATCTATTTTTTGTGCAAATATATCTGCTTGTAGTGGTGCAAAAAATAAAAAAAGATGTTATGGGTGAAAAAATTTTATCTGTGATCTCTAAAAGGCTATATTTATAGAGCACATTGCAACATAAATATAGAAATCGGACCTCTGAAATACCAACAACTAAACGATCTGTTACTCTTTCAAAGCCCTCTTGAAAAATATGGCTTCACAATTTTCCAGCTTTTTACAGTCTTTTGTTAAATATATCTACAGATATGCCTTCCTGATCTGTGAAAATAATTTTATATTTGTCATTCTCAGTTACAGTGAGTTCCTGGCACTCTGAAAGAGCATGTACGGTGTGGGTAGCGGCCCCTCACTTTGGATCATTGCTGACTCCGCCTCCTCCTAAGAATGGCAGCCAGTCTCTGTCTCTGTCTGGTCTCATTTGCTGAAGATGCTCCACCCCTGGGCGGATGTGGCTGGGCGAGAAGGGGCAAGCCTGAACTGCTAACCCTCTTGGGCTTATCTGAGGTTGGGAAAGAGGTGGGTTTTGATACTCCGTGAAGGCTGGGAATTTTGATTCCTTTTTCAGAGTTCAGTCTTGCAAGGCTTCCCTCTCCATGATTACTGACCACTGCAGGAGGGGAGGTTAGGCTGCCCTTGCTGAGGGAACACGGTGAAAATGATAAACTTCCACAAAGCTTTCTGAGCTCCAGGAGCTGTTCTCTGGCTTGACTCAAAGCCTCTGTCAGTTCAAAGCGTTCTTCACATTCTCTACGCACTGTCTCCTGAAGAAAAATATTCTGGAAAGAGAGGGTGGTGGGGAAAGCAGCCTTAGCTTTAAACAATGTACATAGGTAGACAGTTATTGACACTATAGTTTGAGAACTGAACTGGAAATCTGAGGTCTGTATTCTTGGATTGTCTCTATGATACTCTACCACATGGGACAGACAAGTAAAGAACAGAAACGGTCTGTGAAGGCGGAAAGAAGTTGAAGAGAATATTTGGTTCAACCCTTGCAGTTTGCAGATGAGGAATCAAGAACTGAAGAGACTGGCTGACCTGTCCAGGGTTACTCAGATGTTAATGGTGCAGCTGGGGTTAGAGCCCAGGACTTCTAATATATAACTTCAGTGGGGTTTCAACTTCTCTGCCTCAAGTAACAGACAGTATGCTCTGCACATGTAATGATCAACAGTTAATAGCTGTAGAGTCACCACATATATTATTTTATAGTAAAGGTATACTATAGTAACATAAACAGGTAAAAGTGCTTGAAGTATATGATTGAAAGAAAAAATCAGCTATAGCATTTAAACAATAAAATCAGTTCTTATATGATGCTTTCTCAATGGAACTTAAATATGCTGTTCATTTGCTGTCTGTAAGATAATATCCCAAAATAGAGAATACCTTCTGCTATTAACTCCATTCATTTGGTAATCATTTCTCAAGTTACCAGAAGCTGTAGTGAATACAGTCCCTGCCCTCAAGAAGTCTGTACCTTCATAAGTTTGAGCAGAACTGCTTTTTATGTCCATAATAGAATCTAGACTCAAGGTGAAGGCTGTGGGTTTTAAAATAAGGAAGAACTTTTTAATAGAGCTACCTGGAGGACACTGAAGGTTGACAGGGACGTACTGGAGCAAATTTAAGTTTCAAATGTGTGACTGGACTAGAGATCATTAAGCCTCTTTGAAATTCTGAAATTCTACATTTCTAGTTGAGGAGTTATCCGTCTTTCATCTATGAAATTCATCAAACTTATTTCAAGTACCATGGTAAGAATTAAGTCTTGGATCTCCTCAATGTCCTGACGGTCATGTCTTTACGATGTCAAAAAAGAGGTTGAAAAGTAAATAATTCAAAGCAGTATCCTAGTAAATAAACACAATTAAAATGAGTGTGCTATAGGATTCATCAACTCAAAAATGAATTTCCATTGGTTAGCTTGTTTGTAAAAAGAGCCAATGCATTCCTAAGTCTGCCTCTTAGTGGAAAACATCCTCCCTAAGGATGACTAATCTGCTGTCAGTAGAACTAAATAACAAAGAACAAGAGAAAGTAGCATCTTCCTGTTTTTGAGTTTCTCATGATTATAGACAGAAGTCTATTCAATTCCAAATTTGGTAATTAAAATGGAAAAATATGGGGCAATTCCAGATTAACCAGTTACACAGTAATTTTCTATAAAAGCTGCATTCCTGGGTCAAACAAATCCTCATCATTTACATATACTATTTACTTACATACATGACCCACATTTAAAAATGATCATGGGTTAATCACTTGCTTCCAGTTATTTTTATTTTTTGGAGGAATTGGAGAGCAAGGATGGTGTCTGTGGCTTTATCACCTGGGTCTCATTAACTCTAGCTGAAACATTTGTGGAAAAGGTAAGGGAGGAGGGACTAGAGAGGAAGATTAATAAGGTGCCATGTTAGGTGTCATTTCATTTCCTGCTCCCAACAATTATATCTGACAAATAAAGATACTGAAGCTCACACTGTTATGTAACTTGCTGAAAGTAACTCCATTCTGAAGTGGTAGAGCCCTGCTCACCTCCAGAGCCTTGCTCCATGCTGCCTATGCCTAAATTAGTTGTGTAATTCATTACATCAAGCATGCAGGGACCATTTTGTTCCCAGGACACTGAAAAACAAACAAACAAACAAACAAACAAAAAACAGTAGGACATCTTCCTCTGGTTTTTCCCAGGTTTTCTAAGTTCTATAAATCAAAGTTTCTTTTAAAGGGGGAGAAAGACCCAATCTATTATATTTTTTGTCTACTAGTGGAGTAAGCTGGCAAAGTGTTGGAATTGTTAGATTTTAGTGGTGTATTAGTACATTCTTGCATTGCCATAAAGAACTACATGAGACTGGGTAATTTATAAAAAAAAGTTTCAATTGGCTCATGGTTCTGCAGACTGCACAGGAAGCTTGGTAGCTTCTGTTTCTGGAGAGGCCTCAGGAAGCTTGCAATCATGGTGGAAGGCAAAGGGATAGTGATGCATCTTACATGGCAGGAGCAAGAGAGGTGGGGGGAGACACTATACACTTTTAAACAACCAGATCTCAAGAGAACTCATTCAGTAACACAAGAACAGCACCAAGAGGATGGTGCTAAACCATTCATGAGAAACTGCCCCCATGATCCAAACACCTCCCACCAAGCCCCTCCTCCAACACTGGGGATTACAGCTTGACATGAGATTTGGGCGGGGACACAGATCCAAACCATATCAAGTGACTTTCAATAAATTAATATAAAAATATCCCTAATTAAGAAAGCAATAAAAGTTAATTTTATTTGAATATGTCAAAGAAAAATATAGCAATGAAAAATGAGGCCAACATATCAGTGACATGAATAACAGGCACAACAATATGGAATTATAAAGTGATGGAGGATGTGATGACAAGAGCTCTCCTTAAAAGAAAAATAAAATTCAATCAGTTTACTAAGATTAAATTCAAGTCTCAAAGGAAAAGTGTAATGATCTGGAGAAAACAACCAAAAAGCAAGTCACATTCCACCAAAAAGCAAGTCACATTCCACTAAGGAGAACATGAAAATGTACAGTGAGCCAAAAGATGTCCTCATAGCAAGTTCAATGGGATCAAAGTCCTGGCAGACTATAAACTGAACTGTGTACCCATACTTTATACCCAGTGAAGTCTGAATCAGTCATGGAAGGATCAGATTACATAGTTTCCACCAGCAGTAACTAGATATATTCCAAAGTAAGTGAATGGCTAGCCAATAGGGTGGGGAAGGGTTTCTGACTGTCTGGGGCCCACTGCTCTGAAACTCATCCTTCTTCAAGGTCATTAGCTTGCAAGACAAAGGATTAATTCTCTTTCTTCTGTTAGTTCCCAAACCAGGAGGACCTCTGAATTGAAAACAGGATCCAAAATTGAGACTTCTATTTTTTTCTGTGCCAAAACATTATGAAATGCTAGGTGAACCTCACAATATTTTCATATCATCTGCCACCATTACCTCCTCCTCTAAAATTGAGATTATAACTCTGTTTTGTTCAACAGGAAGTTAAGATTTGTAATTTATTCAATTATGGGATAAAAAATGAAAATAAAACAATGCAAGTTTAAGGGACTGCTATTTCAGGGTTGGAGTCTGATAGGGCATGACTAGAGGATATGTGGATGTGATGTGGCTACAGTTAAGTAGATACATTAGTGAAAAATTCCATCATACGTGAAAAGAATCATCCACTCGTGGTTAGATTGTTTTCAGCAATTTAGTCAAGATGAAGGTTGGACTGTTGCAGAATTTTAATGTGTTTTCACTGAGCAACAAGGACAAATGTGCAAGATGAAATATGTTCAGTAAGACTGAAAATCATGCATAGTATTCTGTGTTTTAGATAAAATTATCTTTGGCCATATTTTAACATGGCAAAAATAGAATCATTGGATTGTAACTAAACTGGAAGTTAAAATGAAAAGGAAGGCATGAGCCAGGTGAAGAAGAGGGAAAGATGTTTTCAAAGCAGAGTGGGCCATGGTGCAAATGCCTGGCAGTGACAGAAGGAAAGGCACATTTTGGGATGAAACATGGCTTAATATGACTCAGGCAGTTGCACACAGGGAGGAGAGACCAGGACTGATGTAAAAAGGAGTGAGCAGAGTCAGATCAAGATAAAACTTGTTAACATGTGCTAATACTAGAGTTTTGACTTAATTCTGAGGCTCATATGGAGTCATTGAAAATTTATTTCAAGCAGATGGCTGGCATGATCAAATCTGCATGAAAGGAAGATCCCTTTGCCAGCTCTGTGGAAAATGTCCTGAAGTTGGGCGAGATGGGAGGCAGAGAGGACAGTAGGAGCCCTAAGTTTTCATGGAGGAAGTCCCTATCTCAAGTGACCCTTGGGTCAGGTGGTTCAGGAAGGGCATAACTAGGCATTCCTGCATCCTTAAGCTCTGCTGATTGCTGGTGAGCATTATCTATAGGTATCTCTACAACATTTTCAGAATAAGGCCTCTTTGAATGGGCTTAAAATATGGCTTAATTGCCCTCCACTGAGAAGGAAAGTGTCAAAATGAAAATATAAATTAGTTCACCATATGTTTGAAATTTCTAATATTAAAAAGTGGTCAGTTTCCCCTAATCCTTGCAATATAAGCGTGGTTTATTTTTATATTTGTTTTCCTTTTTATTCTTAGAGACAGCTGGGTTGCTTTCAATTCCAAAAACAGTGGAAGAAGCGAGAGAAGGCTTTACTGTGTAACCTGATTGTTCCGAAGGTAAGACTCCCATCTGCAATGGGAATCAGCTGTATTTGGCACAATTTTGTGGGGAACATGCCAGGAAAGCAAGTCCTCTTCAGTGAAGAACAATCACAGATGGGTGGCTTTGTTCATGCTTTAGTCCCACTAAAATCTGAACCAGTCATGGAATGATCAGATTACAGTTTCAACCAGCCTTAACTGGATATATCCCAGTGTGAGTGGGTGGCTGGCCAGGTTGGTGGGGAGCTGAGGTGAAAGGAAATTCTGGGGAAAACTGTGGAAACCAGAAAGATGAGTGGGAGTTAGCAAAGGATGTTCCCAGCTCCCACTCAAAGGTTTCCGTTCAACTAATCCAATCAGCCCAAAACACTGCAAAAAATTAGTGGAAATGGCATTTTGGTAAGACAGGAATGAGAATCTGAAATAATTTCCAGGAAAGAAGTAAGATGCATGTCAGGCTAGTTGTTTTCAAAATTATATTTCCATGCTTACAAACATAATAAAAACGTGGACATATCAAAACAAAAGTTGTAGCAACAGAG